CATTTCGCCCAAAAAGGCATCTTCTTGTGAGTGACCAGGGAACCTAGATCTTAAGGGAACAGAAGGCCTTTTTACTGTAGTGCCCCAGTTGGGCACTTTTTATCTGAATATAATATATATTTTTTAATAAATACTGGTGGATACATTTGATACTCTATGATGGCATGTTCTTTCTAAAATTTGGAGGGTATATCATGTACGGATTAAGAGGATGGATATAGATTGAGCCACATCAGGGATTGCAGGCTGGAGAGTGCAGGAGGCTATACTTACCCTGGTTAAAACGTGCTATCTAACCTAAAGTAATTATGTCATATACAGGAGGTGAGAGTATATGTGTATATTGGTGGAGGAGGCACATATGTAGGTGATTATAAGCACGGCAAGATATGCACTATTGTTTACTGTTGAATAGGAGGATCACCATACACAAAAGAAGGACCATTCAGTACAATATTGTATATAAGAACTAATGGATTTATACTAATTTCTGGGTTTTACTTATGAGTTGCCCAAATGCTATTGTATGCACTGTATATAGTATCTAGTAATATTGTTTCTTTTTACACTCTATATGGTAAGATACTGTCTTTCTGACAATAACACATTATATTGTGTGGCACTTTATGTAGATTTTATTTGATTGTATGTGGGAAAACCAGGTGCGGACTGACAACTCATGGGGCCCCCGGGCAATAGGGGATCATGGGGCCCCTGTGTCCTCACCCACACTCAGACCACACCCAAAAAAGCCTATGAAAGGTACCAGGGGCATCTCATGGGGCCCCCTACTGACCCTGGGCCCTCGGGCAGTGCCCGAGTTCCCAAATGGTCAGTCCGCCCCTGGGGAACACATATAGTGTCAGCAGCAGCATACTATTTGGAGAGACAAAAGAAGTTGAGATAATTGTGCTGAAGTACTCACTGCACATTAGTACAATATTAGCCATGTTGAAAAATTTTGGTAAGCGTCGCCTTCGCCTGCACAGCTGATCTGTAGAATAAGAAATTGTAGCTGTTTTTTCATTTGATAAATTATCTAATTATGTCTGGTTTTCGGTCTTTGGGCAATTAACAAATTATTTATTCATTCACAACATACATGCATTTCTAGTACTTGGAAGCATAAGTTTCATATTATTCAGCACCATGAAATGTGCGTTTTCATTATATTAACCTGCCATTGCTATTTTTAAAATTATCCTTCCAAAAATAATTTGCAAGTCTGGTGAGCACTGTCTTATGTCTATGGCTTGTCTAAAATGTGCAGATTCTGATATCTGCTATTAGACTGGTTACAATGTCAGTGGGGGTATTGATGGACAGCAGATAAACTGGAGGCACCAGGCAAGGACATTTTCTGCTCTGTTGTTACTGCAGGGATAAGATGTATATGCTTGCTTGCAGGATACCTGTCAATGTTAACATAGGGGACACAAATCTGGCTGTAACCACTATTTAACAGTGACCCTGAAAACAAGTGAAAGCAAATACTTCATTCCAACAAACAATGTAGCTGTAGCAAGATCAGAAAGTTCAAAATCACTTCACAGGATCACTGGGAATGTACTTTCTAAAGGCTGTGATAACGAGCCAAATTTTGATCCATGTATGCTCATTCCCGTTCATGAGAAGTCCATCTGTTACATAGTTCCATAGTTAGTCTGGCTGAAAAAAACAAAAGTCCATCCAGTTCAACCATAGAAAACAAAAAAAAGTTATAATCCTATACCCACAGTTGATCCAGAAGGCAAAAAAAACCCAGCAAAGCACGATCCAATTTGCTCCTGCTGGGAAAACAATTCCTTCCTGATCCCCCGAGAGGCAATCAGATATTCCCTGGATCAACTTTAAATCTGTTGATTGACTTTTCATGAATGGGCTTGTTGGAACATTTCTGCTCAATAAGTGCATGCAGCCAATAGGCTGTAGCACTGATCAGTGTATTCTGATGGTGGAGGAATCCTGTTGTTAGATACAATGACACAGCGGGGAGGATTTCCCCATCCACCTGGAATGTGTGGATGAGAAATTCAGCTCAGTTTTATTCATTCAGTTGGCTGGCTGAATGAAAAATCGAGCCATGTATGACCAGCTTCAGACTCTTTGTCAAGTTTTTATTGCTGTCTGTGTCCCTAGCAGAACTTTACTCTCTAAATCAAAACTGACTATTATTTAGCCTTATGCTGCTAGCACAAGTAAATAAATAGGAAGGTGTATTCTATTTACTTGTTTTAACCTTTGTTTTTTTTACAGTTCTTCAGTTACTTCCTGGTTTCCATGCCTAGGCATCCCAGGAGTCTTCAGGAGGGGAGGAGGGGCTTTCTCAACTAAGCACACCCTTCTGTCTGTATGTCTGAGCTAAAGGCAAATGGATTCCAGGAAGAAAATAGTACATGAATCATCTTCCCTTACTCAAGATGGCCATGACGAGACAAGCTAGGGCTTGTTTTTCAAAGTGATTTCTCAGCAAAACAAAGCACAGAGACATGGATAGATAGTGGAGTTTCTTTTGAATATTAATAATGAATAAAATAGTGTTTTTGGCTTGTGGTGCTCAGATGCAGTGTAAGTCCATCTCCATTTGTACTGCTTACCTTTGTCATCCAGAAAGAAAGAGAAGGGGAACTAGAACAGAAATAAGGGTGAGGGGAAATTTTCCAATGGGGTCCCTGTTCCAGGGACAACCGTCTAAGGGAGGAAACCCCCTTTCATTTAGGAGGTTTCCTCTAACTGCTACACAGACAGCAAAAAAATAAATGGCATGGCTCTTCCCTTACCTACGTTGACCCCCCCCTCCAAAAAAAAAAAAAAAACACCATATGGCGTCCTTCCCAGATTGCGCTTTGTGCGTGCCCGCAGGGCCACGCTGTGGCGAGATCTGTCACCGGCTGTGTACCTCAGACACAGCCGATGACAGATCTGTATATCGGTCCCTTTGCCAGTACCATATGACCTGCTGTGACCAATCATAGCAGGTCACATGACAGTTGTATACAATGGATGGCTTCCTTTCATGCCATCTATTGTATACAAGTGTGCTTAGCTGTGAATGGTCACAGTGATCCCATGCACAGCCTGAGCCAATCACAGCCCATCTGTGTCATGTGGTTAACTATGGCCAATCACAGCTAATCACAACAAAAAAAAACTGAATGAATCAATTTCATTCAGTTAAATGCTTGTAAAAAAAAGTAAAAAATACTGATCACTTCCCCAAAGTAGTACAATGTTACTATCGTAACATTATACTACTTTGATCATAGCGCAATATGAAAAAAAAATCTTAAAAAAGAGAAAAAATTGAATTAAATAATAATTAAAAAATTTAAAAAATTGTAAAAAATATATATATATATTTTTTTTTTTTCGTACTGTCACCAGTCAGTGTCCCTGATCACCGCCATGCCAGTTTTATGCTGATACTATACTGCACTGGTAACAGTATGTAAAAAAAAATTGTGAAAAACATTTTTTTAACTTCTTAATTTTCCAAAAAATTATGACAAAAAAAATGACACCTTCAAAAAACTCGCCATGCCTCTTATGAAATACGCTGGACTGTCTACTTGGCAAAAATGGGTAATTTGGGGGATATCTGTACTGTTCTGACATTTTTGGGCCTCAAGAAATTAAGTTGGCTGTCAGTACTTCAGGATTGATGAATTTTCAGATATATACCATAGTTTGTGAACTCTAACTTTCCTACAGACTAAATAATAAATACTGATTTGGGCTATTTTCACCAAAGAAATGTAGCAGAATGCATCTTGGTCTAAATTTATGAAGAACAATTATTTATTTGCAAACTTTTATAACAGAAACAAAGAAAAACGGGGGTGGTTTTTTTTCAAAATATTTTTTACTTACTATTTACTTTTTTTGGTTCATTTATCAAAAAATAAAAGCCCCAGTGGTGATTAAATACCACCAAAAGAAAGCTCTAGTTGTGTGAACAAAATTATAAAATTTTAGTTTGGGTACAGTGCTGCATGATCACGCAATTGTCATTCAAAGTGTGAGAACGCTGAAACCTGAAAATTGGCCTGGGCAGGAAGGGGGTAAAAGTGCCCGGTATTGAAGTGGTTAAAGCTGAACTCCAGGCAAACAGCTAAATATGCAGATCAAACAGATCTTTATTGGGATTATTTACTAAAACTGGAGAGAGCAGAATCTGGTGCAGCTCTGCTTAGAAACCAATCAGCTTCCAGGTTTTGTTGTCAAAGCGTAGCCTCCCTAGCGGTCTGATTATGTCCATATTTCTGTGCTCAAAGCGGTACCATTTTTTTGCATGGAAATATGTCGTTTTTTTTTTATTGTAGGCCTGTAATTTTTAGGAATAACTCACTGAAATCTGTCCGAACAAGAGTCTAGTAAACATCCCGGGTAGGATATAATTTGATACACGAAATCATACATTATAATTTAATAAATAATCATAAAAAATAACAATATAATAATAATAATAAATTTAATTCAATAATATAATCAAACTAAAAACACTGAAATTTGAAATATAGCGCCAAGTTCGCACATCGCTGATCTTAGTCACAAAACCGTTTTCAGTGTCTGATGACGAATATCCCCACAAATCATTATCACTCAATTTTGCAAGTAGTTCTAATTTACTATCGCTGTTCTCTAGCTGGTCTAAAACCGCTTGTGACCTAAAGGGACGCTTTTTGGACGCCATGGACATTTCTCAGTTTCCAGGCAGAAAAGAACAGTAAAAATGCAGGCAGGGCACAGGACAAAGCACTCGGTACAAAATGTATGTGAAAATGTTTGATACAGTAATGCTTTACTATGTGATTTTAATGTATTTAGTGAAAGTCACTTTTTGACATTTTTAAATTTCCGGCCAGTTCCATCCCCCATACGTCCCGACGTCGCAGGGGACGGAACCCAGAAGATGGATGCCGGTATTGGCCGGAGGAGATGGCTGGGGACGCTGCAGGGGGGACATCGCAGGAGCGCAGGACAAGGTAAGTGATCGAGGGATCCTGGAGCAACGCTGCAAGGTATTCCCGAGTGTAGCTCAGGGTTACCGCTTGTGGTGCTGAAACTTTACCCCGAGCTACACTCAGGAATACCTCCAGGGAGGTTAACTGAACAAGCTGGAGTTAGAAGCTGATTGGCTATCTTGCACATCCGCACCATATTCTGAGTGCACCAGTTTTAGTAAATCTCCACTTATATGTGAGCTGTTTCACCGGCCACCCAAAAGATTTGTATTTCCGCCTATACTGTCCTGAAATGTACAAATGCACTGTCAATTTTCAAGCATTTTACTACTGTTACCCAGCCCTACCACTTAATCCAACCAGCCAGGTGACTTGACTTTTCTCTTTTGCAGATAAGAAACAAAGCTAGGTCACTCCCCCCCCCCCCCCCCCCCCCCCCCATCCCAATTGGACAAGGTCTTTAGAAATACTTTAGTATTGTATTTTGTCTCTTGTTTTGAATTATCATCAAACTATAAGAAAGTTATTACATTGGATTATGTGTGGCTAGAGTTAACCTATACACTATCTATTTATTATTGCATAGTGTCTGTTTTAACCATTTGTATAGTTACTGTAAGAATGGGGTAATACAAGTGTTTTGAACATTGCACTTTTTACTGGATATACACAGTCCCATGCTGCTTTCTCCTTTGGCAGAAGTATGATTCAGAGGTAAAACAGGCTTCTGTGTACAATTGTTCCTGGAACGCTGACAAGGAATATGCTGGCAGTATTTACCCTTGCAATAACAAAGAAGGGAAATTCAGAGATGAGCTATTTTTAAATAACCCTTTCATATCCATTGTCATGAAAACTTGCACCGCCTTGAATTTTCCAGAAAACCTGACGGAAGCGCAAAAGGCAAAAGTTTACAAATTATGAGTGTTCACATAAATTCAAATGCTGCCCTGAAGCCAGCTGTCAACCTCTCTTCCTGATATGCCGATGGAATCTTGCATATGTTTTTTTTTTATTTTACTTCACCTGTTTAACCACTTCCCGAATGCCCTATAGCAGAATTACTGCTACAGAATGGCACGGGTGTGCAAAATCACGTGTATATATATATATATATATATATATATTACTCACCAGCGCCCGGTGATTGCAGAGGATCTCGGACGGGGAGGAGATTTGTTTGTAAACAAAACAGTTCTCCTCCCTGTCAACTCCTGTACACTGCTTTGCATGGCTGCGCGCAGCACAACCATACAAAGCAGTGTGCTTACAGTGAAGCACAAACACACTGCCCCACAGTTAAACACACCCAGCACACAGTTAACCCTTTGATCGCCCCTCATGTTAACCCCCTTCCTGCCCAGTGCCATTAGTACAGTGTCAGTGTTTTTTTTGTAGCATTGATCATTGTATTGGTGTCACTGGGGATGTCAGTGACACCAAGTCAGTTCCCCCCAGTGTCAGAATGCCCACCGCAGTCCCGCTTTAAGTCGCTGATCGCCATCCATGGCATTACTAGTAAAAATAAAAAAACAAAAAAACAACAGTATATATATATTTATATACCGCCATTTGTAGACGCTATAACTTTCACATAAACCAATTAATTTACATGTATTGAGATTTCTTTTTTAGAAAAGTAGCAGAATACATTTTGGCCTAAATTTATGACGAAATTGAATTCTAGCGTGGTACCGTGATATTTTGACACATGTGCAATAAGTCCATCCATGAAATTTCCTTGCTACTAAATATTCCACGGTCAACTGTTAGTGGCATTATAACAAAGTGGAAGCAACTGGGAACAACAGAAACTCAGCCACAAAGTGGTAGGCCACGTAAAATGACAGAGCGGGGTCAGCGCATACTGAAGCGCACAGTGTGCATAAGTTGCCAACTGTCTGCAGAGTCAATAGCTAAAGACTTCCAAACTTCATGTGGCCTTCAGATTAGCACAACAGTGCGTAGAGAGCTTCATGGAATGGGTTTCCAGCAGCTGAATCCAAGGCTTACATCACCAAGTGCAATGCAAAGCATTGGATGCAGTGGTGTAAAGCACGCCGCCACTGGACTCTAGAGTATTGGAGATGTGTTCTCTGGAGTGATCAATCGCGCTTCTCTGTCTGGCAATCCGGTGGACGTGTCTGGGTTTGACGGTTGCCAGGAGACCGGTACTTGCCTAACTGCATTGTGCCAAGTGTAAAATTTGGTGGAGGGGGAATTATGTTGTGAGATTGTTTCCTAGGGGTTGGGCCCAAGCCCTTTAGTTCCAGTGAGAGTTAAGGTGTCAGCATACCAAGATATTTTAGACAATTTCATGTTCCCAACTTTGTGGGAACAGTTTGAGGATGGCCACTTCCTGTTCCAACACGACTGCGCTCCAGTGCACAAAGCAAGGTCCATAAAGACTTGGATGAGTGAGTTTGGGGTGGAGGAATTTGACTCGCCTGCACAGAGTCCTGACCTCAACCCGATAGAACACCTTTGGGATGAATTAGACTGGAGGCCAGGCCTTCTCATCCGACATCGGTGCCTGATTTCACAAATGCACTTCTGGAAGAATGATCAAACATTCCCATAGACACACTCCTAAACCTTGTGGACAGCCTTCCCAGAAGAGTTGAAGCTGTTATAGCTGCAAAGGGTGGGCCAAGTCAATAATGAACCCTATGGACTTAGACTGGGATGCCATTAAAGTTCATGTGCGTGTAAAGGCAGGGGTCCCAATACTTTTGGCAATATAGTGTAACAGGTACTGAATCTCTGATGGTGTACTATACTTCTATTTAACCACTTGCCGACTGAAGATAGCCGAATGATAACTTCACCGTGGCTGGCCAGTTCTGGGAGGGCATCATATGACATCCTCCCAGAACATGCCCTCCCGCACTCTCTCGGGGGCAGGCACCCGGCGATCTCAGTGATCGCTGTGTCCTATGGACACAGCTGATCACGTGATGTGGTAAAAGGCCAATCACAGTGGCCTTTTATCATGTGATCAGCTGTGTCCAATGACACAGCAGATCACCAGTAAATGCAGTTGCCAGTTATCAGCTGCACTTTCCTCGCGCTGTCACAGCGTGCGGAAAGTAGTGCTGATAACTGACAATTGTCAGAGGACTAATCGGCACGATCATCACGACACTGATGATCAGTGCCCAGCAGTGCCACCCACCAGTGCCTCCCACCTGTGGCCGGCAGTGCTGGCCACAAGTGGCCAGCAGTGCCTAGTAGTGCCACCCACCTGTGCCCAGCAGTGCCACCCACCAGTGCCCAGCAGTGCCGCCCATCAGTGCTGCCCAGGACTGCCACCAATCAGTGACCAGCAGTGCCACCAGTCAGTGCCCAACAGTGCCGCCAGTGAGTACCACCTATCAGTGCCAATCAGTGATGCCCATCAGTGCTGCTATCAGTGCCCATCAGTGCCGCCTATTAGTGCCCATCATTGTTGCATATCAGTGCAGCATCATCAGTGCCACCTCATCAGTGCCGCCTATCAGTGAAGGAGAAAAAAAATAATTGTTTGCAAAATTTTACAATAGACTTTTTGCTCTTTTTTTTGTTTATAGCGCAAAAAATAAAACACCCAGTGGCGATTAAATACCACTAAAAGAAAGCTTTATTTGGGTGAAAAAAATTTCATATGGGTACAGTGTTGTATGACTGCGCAATTGTCATTCAAAGTGTGAGAGCCCTGAAAGCTGAAAATTGGCCTGGGCAGGAAGGGGGTATAAGTGCCTGGTAGGCAAGTGGTTTTAAATATATTTTCATATTAGGCCCCTTTCTAATGGAACACTTGTTCGGTGGGGGATCTGTCCACTGTTCCCGCAATGAGCATAGTAGAGCAGGCGGATGACAGTTTGGTGTCCGCTCTGTTTATGCTGAGTGGACACAGACACAACCTGCTCTGCTCTGCTCTGTGGGCAGTCAGATGTAAACGGATCGGCTGTCCATTTACACCTGACTGCTCTCAGATCTGCCATGATGGAGAGGAACGGATCCCCTCCTGGTTATTTTTTAGTCGATTGGATTGGAGGTAGGCAGATAGAAATGGACACAAGTCCCTTTACATCCACCACCCCAGAGAAGGGAACGGAGAGTCCAATCAGATCTGCCTGAAAAAAAGACAGGCCTACCCGATCGGACCAATCGTGTGAAAGGGGCCTTATGTGCATACCTGATAAGTAACATATAGACTTTACATTTATAATGCCTCAAAGAGGTCAGAGTACACCTCCAGACAATGCATTCATGTATGTTTCTACTCAGAAAGCTGAAACTATCTTTGTTAAGTCATCATGTAGGGTTGTCATCTACTACCTGACCTAGGCACTGGCTTAAGGTTACAAAATTATGTAAATGCCAGGCCATATGCATTAGCTATTATGTCCTGGACTGTGTGTGTGTCGATATATTGTCTCAGCTCGACCCCCTGATGCTGTCTAACATCTTATGAGCTGCAACAAAGTTACAGTGTACAGCCTGAGTGATAACTGATGACAGGGAGTCTGAAGAAACGCTTTCTCCTGCCTGCAGTAGACTGTGAATATCATTCTTCCAGATTACTTCTTTCAAACTAGGCACAGGTATTTTGCCAGGAATTAAAGGACTGGTTTGCAAAAAAAACAAAACCAAATGTTTAATTTTATTTAAAGGGTCTACAGTTTCTTCATATTGTGACTAGTAAGGAATGTATTCATCCACACTAGTAATGTTACTGATAGGTACAATTTAACATGAAATAACCTTTGTGAATGTGTAAAGGACAATAATAAAGGTCAACATTTCAAAAGATTTACTTACTGAAGGGAGAATGTCTAATGGTAGAATGCCCAAGGCAACTGAAAATTGGCATGCAGAGAGAAAACTGGATGTGTAGTGCGAAATTCTTTCCATTTGATCAGAAATAGCATAAAATTTGTGTCGGGAAGTACCAACCTATTTCCAGCATGCATTCAAGAATTCACTGACCAACATCATAAATAAAAATCTACAGCGCTGACACATTTCATGAAAACGTTCTTGCCACCACTAAGTCTACTGATTAATTTAGTAAGATGAGGGAGGACTGGAGTAAAGACAACCTGAAAGGTCAGGCCATCTATTGTGTTTTCCCATTGCACACATAT